ACAAAACCAGTGCAGCCAGAAAACACAAGTCTGTTTTTCTATTCAGAAATACAAACGGTCACCCTTTTTTTTTTTTTTTCATTTTAATTGTATCATTTTATATGCTTTAATGCTGAGTTAACGAAAAACCGTGACGACAGCATGGCAGCCAGGTTGTCGCCACCAGCGGTGTTAGCGTCCTCACGTATCCAAGCAACGTGTGGACTTTCAGCAGCTCTGCCTTCAACCAATCACGTTACAGCTTCCTGATGACGGACTCAGAAGGAACCAATCAGAAGCTCGAAAAGCAACTCTGCCCTCCCATACCGCGCTGAACTTTGGGTAAAATACCCACAACATCAACAAATAAATAATCCCGTCATCTAGCAAAGATATTTACTATTTTTCTATTATATTTATCATTTATGTAAAAGAAAAATGGAAAACGTGCACCTGGCCGTAGAGGAGGATGACCTTTACTCGGGTTACAATGATTTTCATCCGACATTTGACTCGGAGGTGAGTTATTCTCTTAGCCGATGCTAACAGATTAGCAACAAGTCGTAGCACCCAGGATCCTATAAATACTGTATATTTAGAATAAAATAAACAAATATACAATATTTAACTCTATGGTAGCAGCTAACAACCATAGCTTTGACACTGGCAATAATGCACAACTACATTACTGACACATTAGTTAATTAGTTGTTAAAGAGTTTTTATTTTATTGAGATTTTGCTTATTGTCATGTTTGAAAGGATCTGGACAATGATGCAGGCTTCCAGCAAGCTGTTAGAACAAGTCATGGGAGAAGGCCTCCGGTAAGACTCAATGCACTGTTTTTGCTTTTAATTAAATAAGTTAGGCAAAGACAGAAGGACACCATTGGGTCAAAATAATATCTGGACGTTGGCAGTGACACATTTTTGTTGATGTTGTTTCTTCTCAATAGTAAAGTACTCAAGTAATGAAACTTTTAGAATTACATAATCAAGTCCATATTCATAATGTAAGTGTTAARGTTCACTACACAAAGTTCTGTAACATTTTATTTATTTGATAATATTCAAAAACACGTTAATGTACAAATCCTGTTTTTATTTTACAGAAAAGAGSACTAAGAGTTATTACTAGAAAAAATTACAGCCATCCATCGAATACATTGTTTCATGATTTGAAATTATTAAAATTCTATGATTTGGTTGATTATAATATTTTGCTGTTCATGTACAGAGCTCATAACGGTGTCTACCTTTCAACATTCAAGTAAATTTGTTAAAAGACAGAGCTGTTATTATCTTAAGGGAACTGAAATGTTTGTGAAACCTTGGGTTCGTAC